CAATAGACCCGCACCCAGGCCAACTCGATGTACACCAGGTGCTCGTTGCTTTTTAGCTAGTTACTAATTTAAATTCTGTATTTGTTACCATTATATCATTCAATGTTAAAAAAAATAAGTTTTAAAATTGTAATAAAAGTTTTCATTTGGTTTAACACTCGCTGGAAGTCACGTGTAATTACAGTAAAACCCAAAGTTTTGTCGACAAAAACCACTCAAATATACATTTAAATTAAGAAATTATTTTAAAATATTAAGTAAAATAAAGTTTTACACAAAATATAATTTAAAACTACATTTTATTTTCACTTTTATTTATGCATTCATTTCATTCATACGTTCAATAAGTTTAACGCAAAAAATATCATTAAAATTGAAATTACAATCAAATAATAAAATATAAACTAACGGTGCGGTCATTATATATATGGTGTGACCGGACGTACGACTCCATCCGTACGCGAGTTAACTATTTAATGAGAGGGGGTGTGGGAGTGGGTGGGGAACGGTATGCCAAACGGCTCACCAGATGTGAGTCTCCCTTATTTCGCCGATTATTTGATTCGCTTTTTGTAAAGCCTTTCGACACAAAAAATACAATTAATTATCAAAAAACACTTCAAAACTACCGTCAAATGCCGTTTTAATGAACACCACATTAACTCCACACTAAACTCATAATAGTTTGCAAAACAGTTCATAACGTACGTACTGTAAGCACATACACCTCACATACAGAGGGTTAAGTAGGGGTACAGGGGGTTAAGTAGGGGGTACATGGAGTGTGAGCACATACACACCTCATAAACAAGTGGTTGAGTGGGGGGAGGGGGGGGACAGGGAGTGCATGGTGTTCACTAATACCAGGCATTCAACGGCATAGCCGTCCCCAACAAATGGGTGGCCATAGAGTGGTGGGGGGAGCGCCCATACCTTCAACATCTCGGAGGCCTCCCGGCGCCGGACGGCAATGTGCTCGGACTCGGCCAACAGGTCGCCGAACTGGTCGTGTTTGTAGAGGTGAGTGACGAGCTCTGACTGGAGGTTATCCTTCACGAAGTTCACGAGGAAATGCATTATGGCTTTGGGCACCGAGTCCTGTATGGACTTCCGGATGATCAGGAAGTAGGACCGTATGAGCCGCTCGATCACATCGCAGTCGCGCTGCTCGCGGGCCGACAGCTTCCGGGTCGTCGTGTTTGTCGGCTGTGAAGGTGTGTGTTGAGGGGAAAGGGATGAAAATCAATGCATTAGTATTTTATGAGTAATTATTGCTCTCTCTCTCTCTCTCTCTCGCACTCATTAGTCTCTCACAAACAAATAGCTCTCTCATTACATAACTCTCTCTCTCTCTCTCTCTCAAAAACTACTGTTCCCTTAAACTACTGACCACTTCGGGCAACAGGTTCACGGGTTTCATCGGAGACTGAACCCGCGATGGGGTCAACCCCATGGCCGCCATATCGCCGGTGCCCTCATCTAAGCCACTGTCCGCTGAGTCGCCGTTATTACCATTATTACTGACGGCACCGGTAGCCGCCGTACTATTCCCTCTGTTTTGCGGGTCTTTTCCACGAAAATTGGCGAAAAAGCCGGCGCTCTGTCCGCCGCCATCGCCCTTACCCTCGGCGCCGCCTACGCTCTGCTGCTGCGAGGGCTGACCTCTGCTCTGCGGGTACTTCTGGTGCTCGGAGTCGGCCGGCGACGGGTCACGGAGCCGCTGCACAGCGGCCGTCGTCCCCTTCAGACCCCTTTCCTCCGAGTTCTTGATGAGCTGACCCACGAGCTGCGCGTCGTGAAAGTCCGGGTGCTTTGTGTTAATGTAGGCCAACTCGATGTAGACCAGGTGCTCGACCATCGAGTTGGTGGGCGGTAGGCGCCGCCGCAGCAGTTGCGTCACCACATCCATGATCCGCTCGTGCAGTTTGGGGAACCGTAGCATCTCTTGCTGTATGGGGTGAACGGGAGGGGAGGGGAGTATGAATGGCACCGTTAGCTCGCAGTTAACATTGGGGTTAGTCGTATGAAAACAAAAACAGTGTAGTAATAGGTGTTTGTGTTTAATGTAAATGAAAAGTTTACTAAACTATAGGAGCCCTTAAAACACTGGTTCAACATATTAGCATATAGTGTAGGGTTTGCTATATCAGGGGAACTACACGTTGAGAGACAGGTATAGCAAACACTTCATGCAATATACCTACACTATAGTCACTACTGTCCTAAACACTCACATAACTGTCCATCAATTCAAAACGAAACGCCTGTTAACACATAATACACTGCCGTATACTACAGCTAAACTACCGGTGCTCTCTCTTACCTGCACTTCCAGACCGCAGTGCTGTATAATCCTCTGCATCTCCTCGTGCACTAACTCCACGCACCTGAGGCTGGGCTCCTCCAGGCGCCGGATCTGGCGTTTCACGAGTAACTCAAACGACACTTCCGGCACGAAAAGGGCCGGTCGGGGACCCTATGGGTGAGCGCCAAACACAAGGGGGTTAACCATCAAAAAAAACACACCCAAACATACCGCCCATACATACCGTGGCGTTCCTGATGGCGGTCAGTATGTCGAGAGTGGTGAGGCCTCCCAACGGGTGTATGGAGTCCAGCGTACGGCCGAACGTCTCGTGAAATATATAGCATATACGGGCGCCTCCGCACAGTTCCGTAGTCTCGATATTACGTGCCGTTCCCTCGATGGTCGAGCAATAGCTCGACGCGAACTTCGTGATGATCTGCAACAGTGTCTGTCCCTACCGTTCCCCCCACCATCGATATGAGACAAACAGTTAGTTAATTGCGATTAAAAATCAATTGTAATTCAAAACAAAGTTTTTTTCAGTCAAATCCCTATTGACTTTCCATTATAGCAGAGGTCTGTGTAGTGTAGGTGCGGAATGGGAACTACACGTCAAACTCTAGTTAATATACACTAATTGCTTGATTATAGAGGGGATACACTATTATGTAATTCACACGTAAACTAATAATAAGCTCAATGATTATGGACTACCGGTTTGCCACTAAATACGCGAGACATTAGACTTAGTGTGTAATGAAAACGGTTATACAGTTTAGTAATACAGTAGATGTGAATGTAGTGAACGCCATGAGTGTCTTACCGCCGCCCCCTTTGGATCGTCCTATCGGTGCGATTATAGCAATAGGATTACACGCATTAATAGATTATTAAAAGGCAATCAAAAACATTAAGATAAGTAAAAAACACATGACATGAACGCCAGTCTCACAAAAACAACTCAAACTTAAAAAAAACACATCAAAAGCTAATTTAACTGAACAACAAAAATGGCATAACTTTTAGGCCACACAACACATTCAATACTAGTGGTCACTAATCGGGGGACAGTCGTGTGTGTGTGTGTCAGCCAATCATTCAATGGGCTATTGGTTAGGGAGTGAGGGATGATGTGGACACACACCTGATCATCAACGGCCACACCATACGAGTTCAGCAGCGACTGGAACTGCGAGATCATTACATTCACCCGTGTCTTGAGCTCCGGGAGGCAGTCGCGGATGTGGTGCATCAGTAGCTATAGTAACCGGAAGTTAAGTATAATTATCACCACAAAAACTGCTATTAATAGACCAAACAATGGCCTCAAAACTCTAATCCCGTACCCGATTGAGTGTTTTAGCCAAATAGGGACTACCGTTCCGGGTGGCCAGGGAGGGGTACTTGCGCTGCAGGTACAGCAGCTCATCCCGGAGCGACTCGTCGATGCACTTCTTATTGATGATGTCCTGTTGCGAGCGGTTCACCACACCTATGATGCCCAGCTTGACGGGTATGACTCGACCGCACAGTACGTCTATGGCGTCGGTGCCCGCGTCCATCAGATCCAACTTTGTGATCACGGCTAACGTGCGTCGACCTACCGGTGCCCCGAGTGCGGTATGGTATGAGTGAACATACAGTAGAAGTCAATAATTAGTTTTCATACGCTTTTCAATACACAAAATATTAGTTAAATATGTAGGGACACACAAAACACGTAGAGCTCCCGGTGTTGGGAAAAGGGGTGATTAGGGGGGAGGGGACAGGTGTCTGGTTAGGGGGCGAAAGTGACTAATGTTTTCAAACCACTTGACATGACTTTACAGTACAAACACATAAAACTTAAACTTAAACTACAATTCAATAGACAAATGCCGTACACTTAACACATGGCTAGCGGCACCGGTAGCTCGCAAACAGCATAAACACACATAATACTAACCGTCCGGATCGACATCTTTGGATAGTTTTAGCGACTCACTGGTGGCGAAGTCGGTGTTGGCCGGCGTGACGGCCAGTATAATAGAGTTCGGGTTCGATATGTACTTCAGGATCAGATTACGAATCTGAACCTCGATGTCCTCGGGCTGGTCACCCACCGGGACTTTGGTGATGCCCGGCAGGTCCACCAGGGTCAGGTTGACCACCTTGTCCGAGAATATCTTGAGGTTTATGGGTTCCGGGCAAATGCCTTTGTTGTTGCCGCCCATGCGCTCCGTCTCGGCCTCGATCTCCCGTCGGATGTCATCAAACGAGGTGTAGATCTTGTTCTTCGTGTGCAAGAACTTCGCCCATTCCTCCAGATCTAGCGTTCCTGTTGGTGGTGGCGGTGGTGATGAGCACCGGGAGGTGTGATAATAGAGTGGTATTAGTCAGTGGTATTTCGTTATAGATATGAAGTATTGATTTGATTCATGAGGTTTGGGTTAATAGTGAATGAGTGAGTGAGAGAGAGAGAGAGAGAGATACTGCGAGAGAGCTAACGATATGAGAGAGAAACCCGAGAGAGAGACCCGAGAGAGATAGAGAGCCATACCTTCAGTGGTGTCCCTAACGGTCTTGTCATCCTTAGCCACGTATTGCAGTTGCAGTACAAGCGGCCGACGGGTGACAATACCGGCCCCTCGGGGCAGGAAATCCTTGCCCACAATGGACTCCAATACCGACGACTTGCCGGACGACTGGGTGCCCACCACCACGATCTGGGGCAGTAGTATGGCGTCGGTGCCGATCGTGTTGAACACGTCCTGCAGTTTGTTGATAATGGGTATGAGCGCCTCCATTGTCTCTCTCGGCAGCTACCGGTGCTCTACTGTTGACCGTACGACCGGCTGATACCAGTGCTGGCGAGCGACCACTTATTAATACCAGACTCCCGGTGCCCGCGCGACTGCAACACATAAATCGTATACACATTACAAACACATTGTATTGACGGATGTTATGACACTCACTACTCACAGCTACCGGTGCTGTCCTATGGGGTGTGTGTCACTGACTACCAGTGCTGGCGAGCGACCACTGAATAGCGAGTATAACACTAATCGCAATGCAATTCAATGGCAAATACACGGCTATAATGACTGTGTGTTTGCGATAGGGATTAGTCGTTGAAATTTGTCAACATTTGAATGCAATAGAGCTGTACATAAATAACGTCTCGCTTATATGGAGGGGAATTGTATTGGAGGCATATATTACGTACAGTTTGAGCGATAGTTTTAAACTTTTTTTACCTTGGTGCAAACATTTCTCAAACAAAACATCAAACAAACAATTGTTTTTATTAAATAACATATCATTTCATTAATTAAATTACAATAATAATCGCGACACAAAATAAAACACAAATAAATCATTAAATCATTTTAATAACTAATTCACTGATCATTATATCATTACAATAAAACCCTACTATATATCATACGGTAGTCATCGCGCACATCGCGACTACCAGTCCCCTCCAGCTAACGGTCCACTTCGCCGAACACGATATCCATCGTACCTATAATGGCGACGATGTCGGCCAACAGCAAACCCCTGCCCATGTAGTCGAGCGCCGACAGGTGCGCAAAGCCCGGCGCCTTAATCTTGCACCGGTAGGGCCGGGAACTCCCGTCGCTCACCATATAGAGGCCGAACTCGCCTTTGGGCGCCTCCACCGCCGTATAGGTGGCGCCCGCCGGCACGCTGTAGCCCTCCGTGAAGAGCTTGAAGTGATGGATGAGCGCCTCCATCGAGGACTTCATCTCCCGGCGCGACGGCGGCACCACTTTGTTGTCGTCGGCGCGCACCTCACCGGCCGGCATACGGTTCAGGCACTGGAGTATTATGCGTATCGACTGTCGCATTTCCTCGATTCGGCACAAGTATCTGGAGGTTTGGGTGCATAACAGCGTTATTAGTTTATGTATGTTGTGTGTGTGGAGGAATGGGAGGGTAGGTGTGAGTGAGTGAGTGAGAGAGAGAGAGAGTCATATACTAGACATAAGTCTATATTTAAATCAATGGAAAAAATAATAAATTTTTTGTGAGTTTATTCAGTGATAGAAGGGTTTGGAGGGTAGGGGTTAGTGTTAGTGAGTGAGTGAGTGAGTGTGTGTGTGTGTGTGAGAGAGAGAGAGAGAGAGAGAGAGCTGTGTATACTAGACATAAGTCACCGGTAAGTCAATTGAAAAAAAACATAATTAATTGTATCACAAGTTAATTGAGTGCTAAAAACAGTTGCAAACGACACACCCATCAAACCACACCAAAACGGCACATACCTATCATAACAGTCCCCTTTGAGACCGATGGGTACGTCGAAGTCGAAGTCCTCGTACCGGTCGTACGGCTGTGTTTTACGTAAATCCCATTTAATGCCGGACCCTCTCAGCATAACGCCACTCATCCCCCAATTGAGGGCATCCTCGGCGCTGATGACGCCCACGTCCACCGTCCGGGCCTTCCATATCCGGTTATCCGTCAACAGGTCCTCCACTTCGTCCACCCGTTCGGGGAACTGGTCGGCCCACCGCCATATGTCGTCCATTATGCCAATGGGCAGGTCCTGGGAGACGCCGCCCGGGCGTACGTACGCGGCGTGCATACGGGCGCCCGACACCCGCTCGTAGAACTCCATGAGCTGTGGGTTTTCGGGTAATAGTTATTAGTTTTGAGTGAATATTTTTAAAGTGTTTTTTGTGTTCAGTTTGTATAGTCTCTCTCTCTCTCACACACACACACACACACACACTCACTCACTCACTCATAGTCTCCCTCAAACAAATAGCTCTCTTGTAGTCCCACTTACTGTATATCAATAGCTCTCTTATGTCAATGCTTTCTCTAACCGATAGCTCACTCATAGTCTCAGTCTCTCTCTCTCTCTCTCTCTCGCTTTCACTCACTCACACCAATCAGTGACAAAAAAGTGTCTCAAAAACTACTTTTTCTCTCTCCTCGAAGAGCCAGAAGAAGGGCGTGAGTGCCCCGATGTCCAGGGCGTGGGTCCCGATGCCCATCAAGTGGTTCAGTATACGCGTGATCTCCGCAAACATTACTGTTGTTTAGGATTAAGGAAACAAATTATTAGTAAAAATCGGAATTCAGTGCAATTTGTAGCAAACAGTTGTCTCAATGAGAAATGTATGGTAAGAGTGATTGAAAATTAGTAATTAAATTCATGTCTCATTTAAAACAGTGTTAGAGAGTGAGTGAGCTATTAATGTGAGAGAGAATACAAAGAGAGCTAAATAGTGAGTGCGAGAGAGAGAGAGAGAGAGAGAGAGAGAGAGAGTATCCACAGATTATAAACAACATGAAAAGCATAGAAATAAACTCAAAACTCATGCCATAACACAACTACCGTACCCCTGATATACTGCGCCCGTATGGGCACCTGTAGGCCCAGCATATTCTCAATGGCCAGCGAATAGCACTGTTCGTTGCACATCATGGACACGTAGTCCAACCTATCCATGTACGGGAGCGCCTGTGTGTACGTCTTATACTCCATGAGCTTCTCGGTCGCCCTGTGCAGGAGCCCTATATGGGGGTCGGCCCGCAGCACCAGTTCCCCCTTCAGCTCCAGCACCAGTCGGAGCACGCCGTGAGCGGCCGGGTGTTGGGGCCCGAAGTTGAGGACAATGTTGCGCACGTGGCGCTCAATGGGCCGCCGGTGCTGTATCTCCGACTCCCAGCCCTCCCACCGGGCGCTGTCGTCCGGCACCAGACACTTGTCGTCCGAGTAGGCGATCGTCTCGCCCTCGAACTCCTTGAAGTACTCCTTGTCAGGGAACCACTTCTTGGCCATACCTCGACGCTGGACGTACCGGTGCTCGACGCCATTCACTTGTAGTAGTGAGTGGGGGTACCGGTGCTGATGCTGGTGGTGGTGGTGTCCGTTCAGCGATAGCAGTGGTGGTGATCGACCCTCCGATTGCGGGCCAATCACTGTTGCGGGTGTTGTCGTATAGTCGGCGGTACAGCACGTGCTAAGCACGTGACTCTTGGGCGCCGACAGTAGCGGCGGTAACGTCTTGGAGATCAGCGCCGGATTGCGGATCAGATTCAAAATGTTTGCCATTGAAGGTGATGGCGATGTGGTGGTGGCCGCCGCTGTGGTGAGCAATCACTTGGTTTTCAGAGACTTTTAATTAACTTTTTTTGGTTGTAATTAAACGGATGGTTAGCGTATGAGTGGTATTGTAATCACATTATTGTTATTCAATTAAATTGTAATTAAATTTGATTTTTACTGTTATTTCTCAATGCGATCGGTGTTTGTATTTATAAATATTACTCGTAAATAGTGTTACTGTTTTTTGTGTAGTAATACACACCCGCCCCCCTAATATATACTTATATCTAGCAATAACCCCTCATAGTATGTGACCCCCACTCCCCTTTTACGTGTATGTTATTCAAACGCATTGATTTTGCACTAACCCAACGTTACTTATTGTAGCTCATTATTTAAATATACAAAAAACTTATAGACCTTTTTGTAGTTACACTTATCATAGAGAGTATACACTATTAGAGTCCCAAACACTCGATATCGAGTTGAGACCGTTGGATAAAATGTACTACAAATACAGTCTACTCTCTGCGCATACAAAGCACTCATTTAATGTTACAAACATTTATTACAAAAAAATCAAACCATACAAACTTATATAAAACTAACCACGGTCAGAAATTCTAATTATAAAACAACTTTATTACAACTAGCCAGGTGAGATAACATGGCAAAATACACTCACTAATAAGCGTACCTTACAATTAGTGCCACCAAAAATAGGCCACTCAGTGTACATGACACCGGAAGTATGCCTGTCGTGTGAGTCACACTCATGACAACCCTTTTCTCCCATACCTTTGCCATAGCCACCCACCCATCGACTTGATTGCGCACGTCATCTATGGACAGCCCGTATAACACACACAATACTCGTCGCCATTCAGTGATAACGAGTCGACGACACGGATAGTAAACACACCACAAGACGTAACAAATGTCGGAACCGATGAACGAAACGCCATCAGCGGCGCCGGTAGCCCTCACCACCACCGGATCGGCCGACCCTCAAGCGCCTGGCGGTACCGGCAACCAAACGGGTGGCCAATCGCCGGCAGTGGCGCCGCCGCCGCCACCGCCCACGCAGTCCACGAAACTGGACTACGAGTTCAGCAAAGAGTTGGACGGATGGGTGGAACAGCTCATGGACTGCAAGCAGTTGACTGAACAACAGGTGCGCCAACTGTGCGATAAGGCGAAGGAGATACTGTCGAAGGAGTCCAATGTCCAGGATGTCAAGTGCCCGGTGACGGTGTGCGGTGATGTCCATGGACAGTTTCACGATCTTATGGAGCTGTTCCGCATTGGCGGTGAGTGTGTGCTTATGATGGGTGTGCTATGCATCCCTGTCCACCATCACCACTACCACTATCTGTGATATGTGGATGACTGTGATTGAGTGATATACCACTCACTCGCCCGTCCCCCTGTGTGTCGCTGTATTATCTGTGTATCGGTGTGTGTGAGAGAGTGAGTGTGTGTGTGAGTGAGAGAGAGAGAGAGACTATATGTGAGCCATTTGTATGCGAAAGACTTCGAGAGAGCTATCGGTGTGTGTGTGAGAGAGACTGCGAGAGACTGGTGAGAGAGAGAGAGAGAGAGAGAGACTACAAGAGAGAGCTATTGTGATGAGTGAGTGAGTCTGTAAGAGAGTTACCAGTATGACAGCGAACCTACCACCCCCCTAACCCACTCCACTCCCACCCGAAACTACACACATATCCCGCACTCGTATGCAAGCATTAAATTACAATTAATTGTCTCATCTCTTATACCGCGCCCCCAATGGCACCGTTAGGTCGATCGCCGGACACGAACTACCTGTTTATGGGCGACTACGTGGACAGGGGGTACTACTCGGTCGAGACGGTGTCCCTATTGGTGGCCCTGAAAGTCCGTTTCCGCGACCGCATCACCATATTGAGGGGTAACCACGAGTCGCGTCAGATAACGCAAGTGTACGGCTTTTACGATGAATGCCTCCGAAAATACGGGAACGCCAACGTCTGGAAGTACTTCACGGATCTCTTTGATTATCTACCGCTTACCGCATTAGGTACGGACACACCACACCTCCCGGTGCTCACATTGGGTGCCTCCCGATTCCCCCCTATGTGTTGGAAACTAATTGTGTTTTGATTTGTTTTTTGGGAGTTTTTATTAGACTTTTGTTTTTTGTGAAAAAAAGTCGTATTTTATTAGCTATTAATCGCTGGTTGTTATCAGTAATTAGCGATTATATATGCTTTTACGACATACCTGTCCTTCACGCTCACTCTCTCACCCCTCCCTCTCCCACTATATCTGAGCTCTGATATCTGATTTACGCTGAACTCCCGGCGCTCTGTCTGTAGTGTTAGCTATAGTTATAATTGGTTTTAAATACAAATCCATTTGTTTTGTTATAAAGTTTTTGTTTACATACCAGTCCTCTCACTCACTGTTTCACTCACTCACACATCCCTTTCCCCTCTCACTCGCCCACTCATTACACTCCCTGTCCTCTAAATCACTACAATTATAATCAATTACTTAATTCACAATCAAATCAATACACAAAACACTTTATCCATAAATCACATACTGTCCGCTGTATCTAACCTCCCGGTGCTCTCTCTCACCCCGCAGTCGACAACCAGATATTCTGTTTACACGGCGGCCTCTCGCCCTCCATCGACACGCTGGACCACATCCGGGCGCTCGACCGGCTCCAGGAGGTGCCCCACGAGGGACCCATGTGCGACCTGCTATGGTCGGACCCGGACGACAGGGGCGGGTGGGGTATCAGCCCTCGCGGGGCCGGCTACACCTTCGGACAGGACATATCCGAGACGTTCAACCACACGAACGGCCTAACGCTCGTCGCCCGGGCCCACCAGCTCGTGATGGAGGGCTACAACTGGTGTCACGACCGCAATGTGGTGACCATATTCTCGGCGCCGAACTACTGCTACCGGTGCGGCAATCAGGCGGCCATCATGGAGTTGGACGACACCCTCAAGTACTCGTTCCTGCAGTTCGATCCGGCGCCCAGACGTGGGGAACCACATGTCACTAGACGTACGCCCGACTACTTCCTGTAAGGCGGTGGACAGCCGTCGAACACCCAACCCCTCGTAGGATAGCTTATCTCTATATACCCCTAACTCCCCTATCCCTTAGACTTATGTGTGTTTTTTTTGTATTGTTTTTATGAACTGTTTTTGTGTTTGTATTGCATATACAATCACAGGCCCCCCTGTCCGCCCCCTTTCTATACGATGTCAACGTGTGATGTTAGGTAGTGTTGATACAGACATACAGTCCTCTCCCTGTTATTAACTCCCAGTCCACTGATTTTTAAAAAAATTATTTGTGTAGTGTTTAGAGATATTTGTGTTGAAAACCGACTCTTTGTCTGTTGATATCAATACGCGAATCGATTCATTAGTTTACGAGTTAATTGATTACACATTTTAAATGATTAATAATTGGCTATTATTTTCAGTTTTGTTTTTAAATTGTTATTATAATTAATGAAAGCATACACAAAACAAATACATTTAGTTTTTTTTAATTTGATTTTCGCGTATAACTAAACACTCGTCTATACTATACTTTTAGCGCTTTATACCCTGTTTATTGTCTCGCATTATATTATTTGAATACCTTTTTTGTGATTATACTGATTATTATTTTTTGTCCACTAATTTATTGTTAATTATTGATTTATTATTACAATTTTAAAATCGCCATCAAATTAATAATAAATAATTGAATAATTCATTTATATTTAGTTTTTATTGTATTAAACGAGAAGTTTGTGGTGAAAAACCATTTGATATAATGTGTGGCGAGAAACCAATTGACATCAAAACAAATGATAACTTATTTGTAAAGCAATTGATTTAACAGAAAGTGTTTTGCGCTATAAGTCTAGACATTAAATGAATTATTATTTATTTGATGTTTAAATAATAATTTCTAATTAATTGTTCAATTCATCTATGATTTTGTCACTCATTTATTGTCGGAAAATAATTTTTTTCATGTAATTTGTATATCACTATCGGATTAATTAAAAAACTTCATTACAAATACATTTTTAGCGGCTATTAGTGTAACACTTATATTATTGTTAACTATTATTATTATTATTATTATATTTAATTATTATTAATTAATTACAATTGTTTGTTTTGATAATACAATTATAATTTATAACATACGCTAGAAATTCATGATTTGACTGAAAAAAACAAATTGCTATAAAACCAATACACTTCACCCCTACCTACCATCATATACTACCTGTCCATAACTTTTCAACAAAATATTACAATAGTTTTTAGTTAAAACTTTTAGTTATTAATAAAAAAAATAAAAACTTTTATAAAAAACATTTGCGTATATAATTTAATTGATTTCAATATTTAAGCAAATAACTATATATGATTAAATTATGATTTTAATAAACATTAAGCTATATAAATAATAATTATGAATAAGGTATACCTTATAATAAAGTTAGTTTATAATCATAATAGGATTAAATTAATTTGATAAACATACTTGAAATCAGATTATGCTAGTTTGAAAATAATATCACTCAATATATCGTGAAAATATTAAATTTTTTACTCGTTTATTTATTTTCTACTTCATTGTAGCTTGTTAGTCATTTACGTACTTTTAATCAAATAATTCTTTAATATTTTTATATAATATATATTTAATTTTTAGCTACAAATTATGTGTTACCGCCAATTTTAATGCAAGTAAAATACTCCACATAAATAAACTCAATGCAATAGCTTATGCACACGTTATGTATACAAAGTATTGTAAACTATTTTTCAATGCCAAATACATGCTATTATATTATGAACTGGTAAAAGCGTTAGGCTGACAGTGTTTACGTGATAGTTAACATGGCATGGTTACAATCATATGAGCAATCTGAAATTATTTCATTTTATAAATGTTTACAAATAATGGTTTAAAATAAAATAATAAAATAAACTATATAGTACTAAATTAAAACTCACTATAATAATTTGACAATCATCCAGTAAACTTTGTATTTCTATTATTTTAAACTCGGTCCCGAATTTATACCAAATCCCGGTCCCGATGTCCATGATTATTAAATAATCAGCTGTAACTTATCAACCTCAAATAAATTATTAAATAAATTGTTGTAAATATACTATCATATCAAGAGATATAAGAAATAATATTCTATGTTATGAAATTAAGTAAATAAATTACTAAGTTTAATTATAATTATCATCAAGATATATGTAAAAAATTATCATTTTA